AAACGTCTGCAACAAAAAGAATATGGAAATGGCATTGCAAATAAAAACAGAGGAAGAACAACCCATAGGTTGATGTTTTGCTTGTCTTGCAAGTCATCATTTTTATTGGTAACACTTTCTAAATCTATGTAAATAAACAATACTTTTTACTATTTCTCGAAAAAAAAGGGATTACTCAAAAGACATTTGCTGAGAAACTTTTTTTAATGTTTCTGGATCTAGGTCAATCTTTTTTTTTCTTTTTTCAAGAAAAGGAAAATTTTAATAAAAAAAATGAGAATATTAACAATATGGTAAAGAAAATCTTTATAAATCTTTATCGATGAAAATACAAAAAAAAACTTTACTGGATGTAGTACATGGCTGTGAGAGATAAGAAGGTTCACATTTCCACCTATAATGTTGAGACAAACTTCAACAATTACGATTCACATCATTGTAAGAACTTACAGATACAAAGTGTTTCATAACTCTCGGGGCACACCAATGCTAGTTTATATGCAGACAGAATAACGCCTAGTCGTTTGTTTGTATATGATGCTTTAGTACTCGTGACAATCTTTTACATGACAAATTATTAGATGATGTTTTCTCTTGTAATTATGCTAATATAAATATGAAAATATATGAGGATAAATTTTTCGCAATCAATCAACATGCTATTTTTTTAAGAAAAACTCATATACTCTATCTTATAAATGCGTATGTTAATCAGATCGTATAACAATCGCATTTAACTAGCACACATTTGTTGTCTACAACTTATTGTTAATTTGTCAAGTCTCCTAGAGATTTCATCAATCATTGTTTTTACAATTATTACAAGTTATTATTGTCATTCGTTGTTCAATCTAGTTTTGAGCTGTTTAAACCTTGACATTGTTCTCCTCGTATTTTTTCCTTTTGTATTTCGTATACACTTTCACCAAGTCATACATCAACAAATTGAAAGCTACCTTCTTGTTCTGCATATCACATTGCCATATGCTTTGTCGATTTCAATCCAGTAATTGAGTACATAACTTGGCTGAATATTTAACCAGTAGCCTGTAATGAACGCCGAATAAACGAATAAAATAAATTGTTGGAATTTACTATTCAATATTTTATATATAGAATATGTTCAGTACTGACTGAAAGAAATTAATAACAAACTTCATATTTTTCAGTTACAATAAATACATCTTCAAATGATCTTGTTTATATTTTTACTATTAAAAAAATATATTATTCATTAATATATCATTTAAACATTGTCATAAGAATACTCAAGACCAATACAAAAAGTTTTGGTTAAGAATCACTTTCTGTTTGTGTATAAACTAATTTTCTCTCGTCTCAAGACTTACAAGTATATGCTTGTCGTCGACTCCCTTGAATATCGACTGACTATTCAGCTGTTTGTGTATAGAGTGGTACTTTACAATCGTAAACAATGCTAGTATTCAATGTGAAAGAAGAAGTGTATGCGAGCTTGGATGTCGCCATGTGCTTTAGTATTGGCTTTTAGTGAGAGTATCCATGTGCATACGTTGCTTTGTCTCATGAACTCGTCGAATCATACTTTTATCCAAACACAACATCTAACCGAAATCTACATAATCTACACTAATACAACATCAAGCATTGACACATCCACGAACATGCTACAAACTCAAAAATTCATTCTATTTTATTCAAGCTGCCTTTCAATTGATGAGATCGAAATACCCTAAGAGAGTTTGTCCATATAATGTACTTTCTAAATGCTCTATGGTTACAGAAAACTTATTCACTAAGCTCATTTCAAAAAAATTGTTCTAGCCTTTTCATGATTCGTATGAAATATCAAAACTAGTCAGATTTATACGATAGACATTCTTCCTACGTATTTCGTCAGCCTGAATCGTTTCTATTGTGAGCTTTCTAGATGAGTGACTAGTCGTTTGTCAGCACCCCTTTGGGACACAACTCATAGCTAGCCGCACCCATGTTAATGCTGATTTCCACATAGAATAATCCACTTTTGCTTATGACCTAGGTGCTTCAGACTGATTGTCATTAATGGAAAGACCGACTCATAACAGAATTCTGAGAGAAAAATTCAAAACCAAACAATTTCTATGATTTCCGTTTTATTTTGAAAATTTTATTCTCTAACTGAAACGAAGATGCCATATTGAAATAGTACAACAACGGATTCTTAGTGTGTCATTATCAAAGAATATGTGAGCTTGTATGCAGACCTTTTCTAGAGGAAAACTTAATTGAATTTCCTATAAGTGGCGCATTGTTCGTCGTGCGCCCCTCCGAACACTACCCACGACCAGCCGCTACGTGATTAGTAGCGCCTAAAAAAGTGTTCTTTATCCCAAAAAAACTTAAACTCAAGATTTCGAAAAACCGATATCGAATTCGGATTCCTAAACCTCAATACCTTCGCTTATCCTTTATGAATCGTCTCGATAGATGCGGACACGCGACTGTACACGTGCTTACAAACATACAAGCATCAACACAAACAAACTCATGTTATTTCATATGACTTTTTCTTCAGTCGAGGGAATAATCAATATTTCTATTCAATGCAAGGATCAGTTATCCAATGAACTTCGTCGACCTAAGTATTGGACTTGTTGTTTTATGTATACCATATTTTGGGAAATCAATACCCAGCATTACTAAGCGTAGTATATACGTACCTATACAACTTATTTTATATGAACAACTGTCATTTCAGCATGCCTATGACAAACAATCTGCCGTCGATGTTGAGATGTCGTGCAACATATTAGTTTAGTGACAAAAATCTTCTTTTCATCTAATATTTCTAATAACATATTTTTCTAATAGACTATGGTCAATGAATACCAACGCGTTCTTAGCTAACTAAAGCATATTTGTTCGAGTGATGAAGAATCATATGAAAACATTGATGATCCGAGCTTTCTTTTTTTCGTCAGTTTCTACCACACCATCATTCTAATTATATTCATAGTCGCCTCAATGAGAAGAGCAAATGAGCCGCACTGAACAATTTTATTCAACTCATAGTACTAAACTATTCATCTCGGTCATTATTTATCACTCATACATCATTAGATTGACTGTCGCACATACATAACGAATAGATTTTAGATATATCATATTTCGTAGTCTTTATGTTGCAAGAAAATCTTAATCATATTTTTGTTTGATGGACAAGTTTCGAGGTTTCCACAGAACCGTATTAGATAAGGGTAGCGTTCTTTTATATTTTTTGGCTAAATTAAACTACTATGCGCTTATCTTTTGAATATTTTTTTTCTCTCATAGAAATAATGAACAGAAAAACATAATTCTTAAAAATTATCGCATGTTATTCGTATCATTATTTGAAAATTGACTCTCCATACATATGTTAAAAAACTACTGAAGTAAAATCTAAATGTACAGTTCCGTTAGAAAGAAATTACTCGATCTTTTGAGATATTATTCAATTTGATTTGATTAGCTTCTAGAAAAAAAACACGAAAAAGCATGATCATTACTTTAGAACTTTATGACAGTACTTGCAATGTTTCTTTCATGACTATTCAGAAGACACTTAGAGAAAGCTAAAATTTTGAATTTATAGTTTTTTTTTGTACATGTTCTCTCATATGCGATCATAAGGAAGATAAGTCAAGACTTTTAATATGACAACTAAAACAAGAAAAAAATATAATTTCAATAATGCATTTGGTAAGAGTAAAAGAAAAGTATTTCCAAGATTCATCTGGAATTAGAATAGTTCAGCAATCGAAGACGAGTAACTTTTCAATAATGTAAAACACAGTACTTTTTCAAGATCATTAGTGCGTAGAATATTTTTCATTTGCTTGGAATACTTAAAATTAGAAATACTGTAGAAATTTTTCGTGCAATTAGTTTTGATTTTAAGCCAACTTAAGATATTCCTTCTGAATTTGGCTGTTTGATAGATAATAGCAAAATATTCCGAATATGTGGACATATTAAGTATATTGTTCAGCCGATTTTATTAAGATTATAATTCTCATTTCGATGTATACTCTCAAATATGATCTATTCGATTGTGAAAAATTTTTACAGAAATATTGTCTGATAAAAAATAAAAGTTTATAGAAAAAACAAAATGAATGTTGACAAGTAAGGCTTGATTATCACCTCTAATAGCATAGTATAATAAACTGATATAATACTTGTTCATTCACGAAATCAAAATTGGTTTTATCGATACAGAAAATAAATATTTTATCAAGTATATTCTTTGTCAACTTTTGCTATAAGAACAGTCATTACTAATATAGTACAAGTTGTATGATGATCAACACTTTCAAGAATTGTTTTGTTTCATTTTGTATGATTAAAAACAGAGAATCATATGAAAAGAAAAAATTTATTTATACGATGATACGATATGATTGTATTAATTTTAATCATATTTTGCTTTTGTTATTGTTTATGATCGCTCGGAACACCATTTTTTTTTGAACCTGAGAAACTTAAAAAACGTTTTTCTTGTACAATGAGAAAAATCTCTTTAGTATATCAAGTCGATCACCAAATAGTTTTTATTGCTCAAAGTATTTATATATCAAATACCATGTAGTCTCGCGCATTCTAACAAAAAACAAAATAAATGCACGCATTATATGAGGTGATATAATATTTATATCATCTTCAAACATGCCTCACACTTTTTATATCATGTATCATTCAATGACATGCATGAATAATTCTGTTATTTTTCAATGTATGATAACGATAGAAAATATCCTTATCTATTTGACTATGTAGTTTTCTTTCTATTCTTCAGAAAAATGTCTCGTTCATCTAATGTTATACTGCCCTCTATCGAGAACTGAATTCTCTATTGGTTTTATCTATTCTTGAGTTAGAGGCATTAAATAAATAAGTCAAGTAAAATAGACAACAATAGCGTATCTGCATTGTCACGTCATATTCGTCTTCGTCATTTTAGTAGATCAAAGATCTCTTTTTTGTTTAGAATTATCATCATGCATTCCTTATTGCTTATTATTATTATTCCATTATTAAGTCAATATCAAGTATTTTCTTCACCTGTTCTTCTTTGGAGCAATAAGTAAGTTTTTCTTTAAATTTATTTATATATCAATACATGATCTCTTATATCAAATAGAGATCTTCCTCAATCGGCTGTACCTCTTTCAAGATATTCTTCAATTGATTTTATTTCAAATTCTATTTGTAAAATTGACAGTAAACAAATTCAAGTTCATTTAATTGTTGTTGATCAAGTAAGTTAAACAAAAAAAAAATCTAGATAAGAAAATGATGAAAAGATAAAATATTTATTTTCTAGTTAACTAATCAAGATATTCAACGAGGTTTACAACGCAAACATCCAGTTTTACTTGATGCCAAAGTATAATAATAACCAATTTTCTTTTTTGTTCTATTGAATTTTTTTCTTTTAGAATGAAAAAAGTCAATTTCGTTATTTTCCTAATGTAGCTGATGATGTCTATGATACATTATCAAAACTTCCTCGTTCAAATAATATGCATTGTTCACACATTCATTTTCAAATTGCATCATTAAAAATATATGAAACATTAAAAGAAGGTTTGTCGAAATTTGATAAAAAAAAGAAAATATTTTTCTTTTTTTTTTGTCAATTATTTTAGCATTAGACGCAATGCAATCACCAGTTGATAGTATTGGAACAAATTCAAATATGGTCATCGTCAAGGCATTAGTTGGTACTCCTGTTGTCGATCAAAGTTTGGTAAGAATAAGATATGATATAAAAGAAAACTCGAACAATTGTTCTGATAAGTTAGAATATTGAATTTTTTCTTCATAATTATTTATTTGGAAAACTAGTGTGCCCATTGAATTTTAACTGAGATGAATCGTCGATGAAAACATTCGTTCGATAGAAAACGTAATATTATTATTCAAGTGTTTATTTTTTTCTTCTTCAATCTATTCAGTACATTTCAAGAACTAAAACTTGAAAAACAAAAGAGATATTTTATTGAAAAAAGGAAAAAAACTCTTTCTCATCTTGGATATCGTATAAGAAAACGAATCCAAATGTTGAATGTCGTTCGATTTCATATTATGGCTACAAGTAGATCTTTATGAGATTAAGAAAAACCTACAAGAATTCGTGCCCATAACCTACGAATCATGAGCTTAAACAGACTCAATTATTCTATTCTCATAATGTTCTTGATTTTTCATTCATAGGATCTATAGATATGAACTCTTTTTAGTAGTCGCAGAAACTTATTTGTACATTAATATTGAAAACTACTTGACATTTTCTTATGTAATCATGCTATCAAAGAGAACCAAAATTTAAGAATAATTTTATTTTTTATTAATTAGAGTCGTCGACGTCGAGATATTGATATTACTGAAGACAATGTTCTTGTATCTGAAAATAGAACATGTATGTTCTATGCTAATGAATTATTTTGGGAAGAGCCTAATGAACGCGATCCTTCAGCTGGAAATTATACACTCGATTTAGATAGAAGTTCATGTACAACAGATGAAATAGTAACATCAAATGGAAATATGACTTCAGTCATGTATGGTTTTTTTTTTTTTGTTGAAAAAGAAACTTAAAAACATTTATTTTATCTTTATATTTAGTCTTGATTTATATTGGGATAATGGAATGAATGATACTATTCCAATGACGTATTTAAATTTCAATTTTTTATATAAAAGAAAAAAATATATTTTTCTTTTTAGTTTAATTGCAAATATAACTGAACGTTATTGGTATTTAGATACAGTAACAATGAATGGTTCTGAATATCGTTATTTTGCTTATGGTATGCATAGTCAAATGGAAACACCATCAACTTATTCATATGTATGTAAAACTGCAGTATTTGTTAAATATGATTCTGCAGGACATGGTTTATATGATTTTAAAAATAAATTCTTCTTAACAAATATACAAGTAAATGAAATATTAAATAAATGTTGAAATTTTTATTTTCTTTATATGTTTTTCAAGTTTCAACCATTTAATGCAGATGGTATAAAATTTGGTCTACCAAATTATTGTACATCATTTTTTACAAGTGGTATATGGATGGGTTTAACATCAACTTTACTTTGTTTAGGTATATTATTATTTGGTATATATCGTATGATGAGTATTAAATCGAATGATCGATTTGATGATCCAAAAGGAAAACCATTAATTATCAAAGCACAAGAATAAAATTATCTTTTTGGTGTTTGTTTCTTTTGTGTTTTTTTTTCATTCGACGTATTGTCCAATAGAGATTTTATTGATATTTATTCAATTATTTAATTAATCATTTATTTTTCTTTTCCGTTGTATTGTGATGATAAATATTCGAATTATATCGGTGTTTTCTTTTTTTTTCTTGCAATATAAAATCTATATTTGTGTGTAATTAATTTTAGATTAATATTTTTATTTTTTCTAAAGAAAAAATCAATGTAGATTAAATTAATAATTGAAAATATTCAAGATAAAGTAGAAATTCTTCAAGATTTAAATATTGATTCATCTTTTATTCATCTTCATAAATATCATCATGAATTGTTGATTATTATTTTACTAAATATTTACAATCAAATAATATAATTGGTTTTCATGATATGTGTATTATTTATCAACGAATTCAATCTTCATTATTATTTGAATTTTTTCAATTATGTAAAAATAAATTAAAAATGATTTATTAGTTGAAAATTATAATAATTATTTAAATCGATATGATTTAATTGATATCATTGATATTTTTTATCAATTAAAATTAGAATCATCTATTGAAACAATTATTTTATCAATTAATAATATTAAAAATGATATTGATCGATTATTTTTTTGAATATTTATTAGAATTATCATCATCATCATGTTGTATTTATGATGTCAAAACAAAATTGATAACAATAGAAACAAAAGAAAATTTATTTAAATTAATTAATACTAGAAAGATACCGGTTGAATCAACAAATAGAAAAGTTAGTTTTAATAAAAAAAAAATTGTTTTTCTTAACTAATTAAACCTCGTCGACGTCAGCATCTATGTTAGCTTATATCATTAACTATACGAAGGCATTTCTATTTTAATCTTATCAGAAAAACAACTGTTTCTATTTACCTAAGATTACAAGAAATGATACTCGCAATGATGAAGGTTTCTGTACATCTTATAAATTGGAAAAATTGATAAAATAATCAATTTTACAGGTTTTTTTTTATTAGCAATAAATCAGTCACAATTTGTTTTTGCCATAAAATTCCAAAATAGAATGGTTTTTGTGTAGCATCTCAAACTATGACATTTAGAAAATTTAGAAAAAAAAAAGATAAGTGATAACAAGAATGTTTTGATGACTCTTTTTCTGTTAAAACTCAACTTCCGAACAAGTATTGTCGCCATTTTTAAATGCGTTTATCATAGATACAAAAGCATATTGAAAATAATCTTTTATTGTATGGAAAGATTTTTAAAAATTCAAATTTTTGCATGAGTGTATTGTCAGAATTTTTTGTATTAGTAGAATTGCGACAGTTTTTGCTTTCACTACTTTATAGTCCATGATGTGTAACGTATGTACTAGTATTTCCATTGTTTTTTTGACTATAGAAGAAGGCACTGCTTGCACATATTCATGAATATGCATATCTCTTGTTTTTCTCGAGGATCATATTTATGAGTTCACGACATCTAAAACCTTTAAGCTAATATCTTGTTCATGAAAATTATTTGGAAAGTAGAGAAAATCCACTAACACTTGATTAGTCTACTGGACAAACGATGCAAAAAAATGAAGGCCTCCTCCCTCAAAAACCGATCTCAGCCTAGATATGTTCGAATCGCCTGAAATTTCTAAAATATGTTGATGCTGTAGTGGAGAGGCTTTGGTCAAATTTTCAGCTCAATACCATGACGTTTGACAGAGATATGCACCAAACAAGAATCACAAATAGCTCATTTGGCAAACACGATTTCTGTGTTCGGGCTCTTTCAATATATAAAATTCTTTTTTTGTTTGAAAGAGCATCTCAAGATGCAGCGCCTACCAGAGTCCTTTTTTTTTTAATTCTTACTTTTTCAGCGAAAAAGAGAGATCACAAGTTCAATAACTCAAAAAATCCGCTAAAAATGGGTGCCAATTTACATAAGTGACTGTATATATAATAAAAAACAAGCTTAATTTAAAAAAAGGACTCTGGTAGGCACTGCATCTTGACATCCTCTTTCAAACAAAAAAAGATTTAAATACATCACATGGATCTGGACTGAGAAATTTGGGTTGCGCGTTTGACATATCATGAACTGAGAAAAAAATGAAAAAGTTTTTCGGTTTTTTCAAAAAACAGCTTATTTTTCAAATAGGAGATGACAGAAATCTTCAAAAATTTTTGTCGTTTATGAGAGATCAGATCACGGGCTATCTTTCCCTGTATTTATCTTAATTTTGATCATTCTGACGAAAAGTGACTTTTTTTTGAGAGGGAGGCGTTAGAAACCTAAATGAATTATATATAGACGCGAGATGTTATCGATTACATAGTGATAAAAACCAAAGACATATTCGAAATGTGTAAATTAATACAAATCAAAAGTGAAAGTAGAGTCAATGCATCATCTAGAATAGACTAATTCATGATGAGTCTCATTAGATCTTTAATGATTTTCTACTTAATCAAACAAATCAATTATTTTTATACATAGAATTCTGTAAAACATACATTATGTACATATTTATCATTATTGTTGGATATAGGTAATAAGCACGCACTTCTACAATGTCTTACAACACCAGCATACAATGGTATTGAACGTAACACAATTACTGAATTGAGACGTTTATCAAAGAATGAATGTTCATCAATATATCAAATTCTTCTTTCATTTCTTCAACGTAAAGAATTAATATTAAATCATATATCATCATCATAACAAGTTTTAATAAATAATGATGATAAATCATTTCATCTACTTGATAAATATTATATTGGTATAAAAGAATTTTTTGATTTTATTGAACAATTACAAATGATAATTGAAGAGAATAAACATTCAAAAATTGAATCAATGTAAAAAATAACTTTCTTACTTTCTGTTTCTCTAAAAGAAAAAAACGAGTTTTTTTCTCTTCTAGTATAATTTTTCGTAAATTATTAGGATTAATTTTAAAATAATTATGTAAAGATACATCAATTAATCAAAATGATTTAATAATAAAAGAAATTCTCGAAGAATTTTATCAATCTTTTCAAACAATACATTCATTTATGACTTGTACAACATCAATTCGAGTCTGTTGAAAATTATTATCTGAAAGTTTTCCAAGTGTATTTTTTTATTATTTCAGTCTGCATCATCTGATGCTACATTAGCTAATCGTCGCTTTCTTCAGTCAATCGCTTATTTATGTGCTAAACTAATAGTAGATTCACCTGTATTTATTGAAAATAATGATGATTGTGATATTTTATCAACTAAATTACTAACAACGATTTCTTGTCTTTTACGGTTTGTATATTTTGAATCGATAGTCTTTATTGATTATTTTCATTTAGAAATCCTTTGAGATTATCATAAATAATCAAACTATTCATTCAACAATGTTTGATAATAATCTTCAATTACAATCAATTAAAAAACGACAACCATGACAAGAAATTGATATAAATTTATTTAATCATGAAGAACGAAAAATTGAAAATGAAAAGAATCTTTATCAAAATTCAATAGGATAGATATTAGCAAATGATAATGATCAAGAAAATATACCAATAACAATAAAAAAAACGATCGATGACATCAACAAAAATTGAGTCACCTAATAAAAAACAAATGTTGAAATACCCGTAGTTGAACAATAAATGATTACTAGTTTTTTTTCAATCGATAAATTAATTTATCGAAAAACAAAAATTTATTTTCTTTTAATTCTGTTATTTAATTTTCCTATTTTTTTTTTGTTACTGTTAAATATTATATATTTGAAAATGTCAGATATACATTTAGATATGTTAAATGTTATTAATCAGTTAGATATGTTTGATATTATCTATATATTTATATAGAATTAGATAATTTATATTTTGATTCGTGCTATTTTTTTTTAATAGAAAAAAATTTCTTTTTTTCTTTATTATTGTTATTCTCTTTCTTTTCTTTATATCTCAAGTTCTGTTAACAAATATGAAGGTTATTTTTTGATATGTTAAAAATAAAATAAAATAAAAGTTAAATTTGTAAAATATAAAAACAAACATTGAATTCTACTATTGATAAAAGGCTTTTAAGCTCAAGATTTGTTCACAAGTAGAATATCTATGTAACAGAAAAAGTTTAATAATATATGAGAACAAACTGTGATTTGGATGAGATATGAACTTTTTAACTATACTTTTTTTTGTAGCACTTCATTTCATCAGTGAATCAAAGCTAACAATTTGATAGTGATATTTTGAAAATAAAATTCTAAGCTGAAAAGTATTTTATTCACTAAAATGGTTCCTTAATAAGATAAGAATTATTTCGATAAGATATTATCAATATCTGGTATTTATTAATCATTTTACCATTCGGATAAATAATACATAATGAAATCAGGTAAACAGTATTATTAGGATGAAAAAACAATATTTAGTTTTCTTGTTAATTTAACTTAATGATTATCGTAGAAGATTTTTATCGATTTTCAATCAGACTGTCGCTCTAAACTTATCAAATAAAGAGTTTATTCGACAAAGTTGTACATGGCAACATTTAGTATATTTACAATCAGAGAGTAACAAAACAACTTTGTTTCTTCAGTTCTTTGTGCAGTTCCGACAAGAATCTTGGTGGGTCTTCAATCACCACTACCAATACTCACCTGAGTAGATTGAATTCGACAGTTTTAGTTGATTTCTAAAAGGCTAGCACTACTAAAATCTGTACTTTTGTCGACTTCATGTATCAAGTTAACAAAGTAGTAGCCTGCACATATTCAGGATGTTATATAAGAGATCTAATTCTAAATCATTGAACAAATCACAATCGTTGAGAACACTGAATATAAGGAACGATATTTAGGAAAATCGAATGTACTACATTTTTCATTTATAACTCAATAAACCATCAGTGAACATGAATGGTCATTAAAAAAGTGGCGCCATCATTCGTATTAACTCATATATCGGGTTAAAAGACACTATCAAAATCGAGTTAATTAATCATGATTTATGCGACATATTTTATATTAGCATGTAATTCTTATTAATATGTTCTTTAAGCATATAAATTTCTCTTTTCCAATTGGTCTGTTTCTTTTGTGGTCTTTGTTAGAATCAGTCTGACTGACAATCGCTCATTTTTCACACTTTCGTTTTGTTTATTTTTGAATCGATTCTTCTTCATACAAATAAATATCTTATTCTATTTTAGAACGACTTGACGACATGCCTTCTCAGTTTAACATTGATGATTTTGAAAGACTGAGTAAAGTGGGAGAAGGTATACTAATGAATTTTTTTTTTCATTTTTACAATAACTTTTGTAATTATTGTTTTTGTGTCAGGTACCTATGGTATTGTATATAAAGTGTGTCATCGACCAACATCACAAATATATGCATTAAAAAAAATTCGATTAGAAGGTGAAGATGATGGTGTACCGGCAACAGCTATTCGTGAAATATCTATTCTAAAAGAACTTCGACATCAAAATATTGTTCAGTAAGATTCAACAAGAAAATAAAACATTATTTAGAGAAAATTGTCTTCTGTTTTTTTTTCTTTCAAGACTTCGTGATGTTATTCTTACGGATGCTCGTCTTTATTTGATATTTGAATATTTGGCAATGGATTTAAAGAAATATTTAGATTGCTTAGGTGAAAATGAAGATATGGATATTGCATTAATTCGAGTAAGAATAGAAAATAATGTTAAACTAAGAAAAATTGTTATTCTTTATTGTATAGAGTTATATGTATCAAATAATTGATGCATTACTCTTTTGTCATTGTCGTCGAATAATTCATCGTGATTTAAAGTAAATATAAGTTATAATTAAAAATTTGTATAATGATTTTTTTTTTCTTGTTGTTGTTTCTAATTAGGCCACAAAATCTTCTTGTTGATACGAAAGGTATTATTAAACTAGCTGATTTTGGTTTAGCACGAGCATTCAGTGTACCATTAAGAATTTATACACATGAAGTAAAATAAAATAAGAATAGTTTTTATGACTAGAATTTAATCATATTTATTATTAGGTTGTTACATTGTGGTATCGAGCGCCTGAAGTATTGCTCGGTGCTTCACGTTATTCATGTCCAGGTATGAATAGATAATAGAATTTTCTTTTTTCTATTTAAAAAATCTTTGTTTATTTTCACATAGTTGATGTTTGGTCTGTTGGTTGTATTTTTGCTGAAATGTATACGAAACGACCATTATTTCAAGGTGATTCAGAAATTGATCAACTCTTTCGTATTTTCCGGTAAAAAAATTTTTTGTTTTAATAAAGAAAAAAAAAAGATTTTTCATTCTTTATTTTAGAACACTTGGTACACCAACAGATGAAACATGGCCAGGTGTTGTATCATTACCAGAATTTAAATCTTCATTTCCACGATGGAAACAAACGAATGATTTATCATCATTACTCAATGATCGAATGCGTGATGATGCACTTGATTTACTTCTTGTTCGTTGAAATTGTCTTTTTATTATCAAATTTGTTTTTTTCTTCTCTTTAACTTTCTAGAAAATGCTCGTCTATGATCCGATACGACGTATATCAGCCAAACAATGTCTTAATCATCCCTATTTCAAACAATTCGATCCACAAAATTTTCCTGTACCAGCACCTGTTGTTGTACCTGTTGTCAAAGAAGGAGCCAAGTAATATTAAATTTGTGTATGTATGTGCTGATTTTTACGTCAGATATATATATATTTCCTTTTCCTAATTGATATATGTTCTGATACTTCTCTAAAAATCTTTTTCTTTTTCTATGTCTTCCATATATTGAAAAAAATCGTACATTTAATTGTTGACTTATCTGTTCATTTTTTTTTCTTTGTTCCACCATCGATCACACATATACTTTTTTTTTAATATGATGTGTGGACTTAACTATTCGTTCTCTTTCTTTTTCTTTTTTGTCACGCGTACGTATAACGTGAAAAAATAATGAATCTGTACAAAGAATGATAACATAAAAAACATTTCACAGAAGAAATACATACGCATATATATTATGATTATTTCATTCTTTTCCTTTTTTTTTCTTTTTTTTATTTCTTCTCTATTGAATAATGAAATATGAATAATGAAGAATTTTTCTTTTTCTTTTCGTTTTATTTGATATTTGAATAGAAGATAAATGATTATTGTAAAGTTTAACGTGCAAGCAAATAATTGTAAACACACTGTTGACGACATTCCAAAAACAAACCGGGAGTGGCACTATATGATTGATAATCATATTGTTGAAGAATTGATAATTTAAAAAAATTTTCTTTCATACAATCCGATGAAGATAATGCTTTATTTTGAAAACATAACTCATTCATATTGTTTAATGTTATTCTATTACATTGTCGTTGTGTAATACTATGTGCAAATCCCTATAATAGACAAAAAACATTTATTATAAAAATCATCAATTTATTACATGTCAATAACTTACACATGCATAACATAATTGATGCTGTTCACATATTGTTTGAAATGGTCCTTGAAATAAAATATTTCCTTCGGATAACATACAACCAAGTTCTTTTACAGCATATACTGGTATACACTGATCAATATTCACTGAAGAAGATTTAGAACTTGTGATTTGATTTGATGTTGATTTTGATGGTCCATGATCTATATAAATATAATAAGAAATTATGTCTTCAAATTTTTATAAACATGTTAAATAGTTTTATTTTGAATTTACCTATAGTATGTAAAGCTTGATCGTGAATATTATAACCGTTGCTAATAGAAATATGCATAAAGCACAAAGCGACGATTAGAAAAAAAATTTTAGCCATTTTATTTGTAATCATCATTAGAAAGAAAGATAGTTAGAATAATCGTATTTAAAATAATGGTAACAAGAATAATATAAAACTTGTAGATGATCAATAAATATTTCTTTCTTCTCGTTCTTGGTCTTCTTCATTTATTTTTTTTGCTGTTATTTATAAGAAAAATTATCAAGAGAATTGAATAAATGTGTTAAGCATGAATATCAGACAAAAATGAGACAATCAGGTACTAGATATTATCTAGGCCATCTAAATATCATAATATGGTTTTTATATTCATAAAATTCAATAAAAAAAAGAATTTAATTGATAATATAGAATTATATAATTATTTATAAAAAAAAAATCATTTATTCGATGCATTCACGATATAGAAAAAGTACTTCAAAGTGATGGTAATTCTTTTTTTAATACAAGCTTGTTCATTATTATTTCTTTGTGTGTTCACATATTTTGAATATAATAATGAATTTAGAATAATCTTCGATTCGGTTGAATCATGTATCCCATACTATTAGTATGGGATTCAGTCAATTGAGAATGTATTCTTTTGTTGTCGTCTAGTAAAATACATATTCAATGGTACGAATAAACAATAGATGACATGTCTGTTAATTTATTATAATGCTTGTCTATCGAGACATGTCTTTCTCTTCTTATTTATCCAGATCGAGTTCGCTTTCGTCTTGATTGCATCACTCCGCCAGGGTACAATTAGATAATTCATCTTATAAGTGCAAATTCAATAATGTATATTATGATTTCTGCCTATTTTGTACTATTCCATTTTCTCAGCATATATGGCATGACTTTTGATGCAAAAATAAAATTATCATTCACTGTGGACCTTTCAGTTTCTTAAGCATCAATAAAGAATGAATGATGTCTGAAACAATAATAGAACACATGATTCATCTCTAATCATTTGTTAATTGATCAAATTTATAAGCTTAGTTTTCGTGTATTGTCTGATTAATGAATTCATGTTCTCAGAAAAATAGAGGATTCATGCAGTGAGTTTACGATTCTATTGACATTTTTTTATTGCACATTCATATTTTATAATTTACAACTAAGAATTACTGTGTACAAATTCAAGTTTCCTGATTTTATTAGCGAAAGAAATATCAGCGTCGAAAAAAAGGAGTAAAAACTAGTCAAGAATCTTTCAGGTCAATTAATTAATGAAAAATAATATCAATCTATGACCTTATGATAGATATACTACAACTGAAACAGAGACGAACTATATAAAAAGTGTTTTACAAATTCATTGAGATATGAAACAGTATGTATTGATATGGGGGATGGAATTGAATGAATATACTCAGCAGATTTAAGTTGCTATAAAAACCTTCATCATTGATAAGGTCATGATAATAAATAAAACAAAAGAAGTCATGTGCGAAAATCAGATAAAAATAAGATATACTCTCTCTTGAACGTGTAATCACCTTTCAATATGTCTTAGAATAGTAAAAGTAAAGATCAAGTGTTAATTTTACTTAAAGGTTTTGTTAAAAACTACATTGATCTTTGTTTAAGTTTTTAGGTAGAAATATTAAAAATGAATTAATGCTCTATATATCAAAAGAGAATTATATAACAAGTCTATGTGGAAATATAAATTTATATATTTCTATTCAAATTAAAAACAGATCAAAAGATTTCTTATTCAATTAAAGTTCTCAATATCAATTATGATAGCAAAAAAGCATGTTGACCTCTTGTTATCTATGGAAAACTTGACCCAATATTGAATGCTATTTATAATTACATAGATCAAGTGTCATGAGACAGAAATATATAATGAAACGTATGCGATGACAAATGCGGTCTTTCGAGAATAAGAGGTGAATATGTGTATATTCTATGCTTGTAAATTAGAATGTTTTTCTGCATCACGGTACATAATAATGGTTTAGTTTGTTTTATAAGATCCTTTATTTTGAAAGAACTCTTTCATATCATTTTAGTCTTCTAATGAAAAACTAAACAAACAATCTACTATTTAAATCACAAAAACATTTTGGTATGACATCAAAGAACAATTTAGCAATCTTTTTTTCTATAGTTTTTAGATAATATCGAAGGATTTTTTTATAACTTTATATATACAAATAATCTATTCAGTAAAAGTATCAAAAAAAATGGAACATATCCTAGATCAATACTAGTTTTCATTCTTTTTTAACCTAGTAAATAAAGATAATACTATCATAGTAAAGGTATACATAGGATTATAGGACCGAAATTAAGGCTTAAAAAACTTGATACTGCACATCTCTCATAGTGATACATGATTATGTCATTCACATACAACAAAAATAACCTATGAAAAGAATTTGATAGGAAACAATCAGAAATTCAAGCAGTAATAAATTTATACACTGGTGGTAACTACTAGTAATAGAGTATTACTTGAGAAAGAAATGGGATCTATTGAAATTTTTAAAATGTTTTCTATTCAATTGCAGATTGATTTTATTGAAAATAACGATTGTGAATATAACTTGACCAAAACTTTCCAGTGTCAAAGAATTCGAGCTTATGAATAGTTTCTTGAACTTGCCGAATTAAGTCTTCTCAACTTGTAATAATCGAGTGTCAATGATTTTCGTCAAACCTTTAAAAAAAAATTTAATACTACAGAAAACATCTTTCGTTTAAAACGAATACAAAAGCAGAACAATGTTGAGAAACTACCAACAAATTCGGATTTCTTGACTTTGACAACTTTTGGTGAAGTTGTATCATTTTATCTGTATTTTCATGAAATAGTTTTCTTTGAATTCAACAATTCAATTGAAACACTTAAATTCATTCCAACTATTTAATTCCTTAATCTTAATAAAGTAAGTATATTAATGCTTAGTAAGCTCTTGAACAATTAATATTCATGATTAACTCAAATTAATTCAACTTCAATAAATCGTTCAAAATTGTCACAAGAATCCAATTATGCAACCTCAAACAAAACTATAAACTTTTGCAAAAGCTTTTTACATACATAACTTTTTTCGTCTCTATTAATTCAATCCTAATATTATAGAAATACGAATATGTAAGAATTATTCAATATATTTAATGGATCCCTATAAGCCTTTTAGTTTATTTTTAAAGTATATATAATTCAATTGTCTCGCTACATAGCATGTACATTTGAAATGGTAACATCGCCTTTAACTTGAAAAGCTTGAATAGCTTGGTAGGGAATACGGTGTCGAAAGGTGAACCATGCTTGTTGATTGCAATTGACCTACATCAAAAGAGAAATAATGTATTGTGAGAAAATTTAAAAGAAAATATCATTAGTTTTTCTAACCTGGTAATGTTCTGGAAAGCAGATAATTTGAATTTCAAATGGTTGACCTGGTTGCAATGGAAATCCACCTTGTTTTTCTTCCATACCCCAGCCGCCACCTTGGCATGAATTACGTACAGCTTCATGTTCATCAAAACGTGGATTGAAATGAAATGCAACATCAGCTCCTGGATAGGTGCTTGTCAATAAATTGAATTCGAATCGCGAAGCATTATTGTTTGAACGACCACTAATATACAATACACGACCTATATTTTATTTTCAACAAATATTTATTAATTTACATATTTTGTCATAAATAAATATTACCAGGAAACATATTGATAGGAACTGGAGTTTCCTAGAAAAAAAAGAGTAGCCAAAAAAGAATTAGTTGAAAAAAATAAATGATATATGAATAATATTCCTAACCATAGCAAATTGTAATGGTTGACCATATTGATTAAAGCCTGGATAAATTTGAATATTTGTTAAATTAACATCACCTTTGACAGTAACTGTGTCAGCAGCAGTGAATGGCATTCGATAATTAAAATCAGCTGTATGTTGATTATTAACAGCAATCTTGACAAATCATCAAATAATAGAAAACAAGTTTTATTCTATTTAGATATGAATCTTACTTTAAAACCTTGGGATGTAACCATAATGATAATATTAAATTGTTGACCATTTGAAATAGTTAATGGCTTACGTTCTTCATTGCCCCAATTACCACCAGGTGCAGAGTTCAATACTAATTCACGATCGTTTATACGTGGATTGACATGTAATATGATATCACCTCGTTTATTAGCCAAATTGACTTCGAATCTTTTTAAATTGATGATAAAATAGAATAAACATCAATAAGAAGCAAATTATCAAGTAATACACTTACTGGTTACCGGTAGCAATACCATAAACTTGTATTTGAGAACCATAGTGTAATGATGGTGAAATATTTGTTTCAAAAGGTACACTCTAAACATTTCCAGAATATGCAACAGTGATAGATTTCTATTATTTAAAACAAAGAAAACTAAACATTACTTACATAGTATTGACTACTTGTTTGCTATAAAAATAAAAAATACTTATATATTTGTTGACTTAAATTTTTCTTTTTGACATACTTGGCCCATGATGCTTAAAGAGAAATAGAGTGTGTTACTCTTTGTGTGATAGTTATATTAAATAGAAAAATGAGACTAAAACAGACTTAATTTATACATCTATATATTCTCTGATAATATAGAAAAGAGAAAGAAATATTGATAAGATGAGAGAACAGTTACTCATTGCATTAAGCCTTATCTAGTTGATCAAATAAATCAACAAGAAAAAGAAATAGTTGTGCATACAGAGATATTCTGTAGTTTATTTCGAATCCGCAAATACAAAGTGGCTTTTTTTAGTAAATACACAATGACTAACAGCGTTATCGAAGAAACAATAAAGCAGGCTGGTGAAAAAAGGCAGATGATCGACAACACAAAATTAGTTTTGTTATACTTCCAGGCTTTTTTCTTGGTTTTTTTTAATGGAAATGATTTGTGTAACGTTAAATAGAAAATAAAATCAATGCTTAAAACCAATACTTTCATTGAGTGGTTCTTCAATCGAAAATGCTCTTTAGAATATTTATTTTTGATAAATATTATCAATTTAATCGTTCTTTATGAGAAATAGAAGATCTTTAAGATCAAATGTGACGATTTAGAAAAATTGCACATATACAATGCAATGAATATTGCTATTTTCTTATAGCCACAATGACATATTTCTTTTGTTTTTCATCATCTTTCAATTCCTTTTGAATTTAAGTCAACAAGATGTGTTAAAATCTATCATAAAATTAAAAGAAAATTTTCTAGTCATACTGCCTAAACTTTCAAACATATGCCATATCCAACTCTTGAAATCGTTTAAAAGATTGATTCATATTTTATTTTCTGACAGAAAACGTAATACATCATCAAAAAACAATATGAAAAATTCTACCACCAAAAACTCAAATACATTAAATGAATTCACTTGGCATTGTCTCAAAGTATAAATTGAAAATAATCAACTGTTTCACAGTTGTCCAATACCATTAACTACAATGTCACCTTTATATTGAATTGCCATAACCTAAAAAACAGAAGATTTTTATTTTTCATGTTAAGTAAAGATAAACAGAGAATCATGTTAGCAATGAGACTTACATAACCAGGCGGAATTTTATGATAGAATTCAGCAATAAAATAATTGTTCATAAATACCTGAAATATTTAATGCATAGAATAGTTTACGTGTAAGATATGTTGAATATAAATTAATATCTTACTGTATATTTATCCATATTACATGTTATTTGTAAATCAATTGATGAACCTGGTATTAAAGGCATATAGGATGGAAATGGTTGATTTTCTTCTTGACCCCATTGATTATTTCGTCGATAATTTTTGACAATTGTACGCGAATCAAAACGTGGATTAAAATGAAAAGCTATATCATCACCATCGGAATAACCTTGTAATAGATTGAGTTCAAATCGATTAGCACCAGGAGGAATAAAACCTCGTACAAAAATACGAGAGCCCGTATGTATTCTACATGAATGTATTGATGGTGCACCGCTACCCTGTATATGATTATTACTATAATAATATTTTATGTAGGACTAATACAATAATATACAAACCACATATGGTGGAGGAGCTGATGGCAGGTCAAAGCCAGCAACAAAGTCTCCACCAGAACATGGTTGAGGTGGTGGACAAAAGCCCATCTCACCACCCATAGAGCCTGATCCTGGATACACTTGAACAGATTCTAAATTAATATCTCCTTTAACTTCAACTAATTGAGCTAAATACATGGGTATTCGTTGATAAAATTCACAAATATGATTATTGTTTGCAGCAATCTACAACAAATCATAAAATAAATTTATTTAAATCTATTCATTAGAATAATCTCGATATACTGTGAAGTTACGATCCGTTGCTAAGATAACCATTGTGAATCGTACTCCACGATAGATTGGCAATCCATGGCGTTCTTCTTGTCCCCATAATCCATGCTGAGCTAGACGTTGAAAGAAAATAATTGATCGATATTAAAATATTTATTTTCATCCTACCACTATTGAGAATTAGTGCATTATCATCGAAACGTGGATTAACATGTAAGACGACATCATTTTGATAATTTTTTAGATTGACTTCAAATCTATATTATGTATAAATATTTAAAAAAATTGGTTCTGTTGCATTTACAGACAGAGAAACCTGTTTCCAGTAGCTGTACCAGTGACATGAATTTGTGTACCATTTGAAAGTGTGGGTGAAATAAGGATTTGATAAGGTACAGGCTAGTAAAAACAAGTAAATAGTTATGAAATGAAAAAGAAAATAAATCAAAGATTATTTACTAGTCCATAGTTCAAACCAACTGAAATATTGGGATACATTTTATTCCGAAATGGAAATTAATCTGATAAAATGAATGCACAACAAAGCAAGCGAAGTCGATTACAAAGTAATCCTTCTTTCTCGTTGTATAGATACGTTTTGATTTGTTATCTGTATTTGTCAACTCAGGCACCCCAATATGTTTATTGTTTTCTTTTGCTTTCTTCATTTCTTGAAAGCTCTCTCTCTTCCTCTCTCTCTCATTTCAGCTTTCTTTTGGGGGCATTGGCAAAAGCCCTTCGAAAGAGCAATCAGTATAAGCCAGGTGATAAACGACTCTATTAGTCACATCACCATACTATATGTAGATGTTTCTTCTTGAATATAAGAAAACTATAAATAATCGTGAAAAAGTTCGCTGAAAGAATCAGCTGCAAGGGTAGCTTAGAGTGCTCCTAAGTAATGATGTTTGCTGAACTACTTCGTGTGAGTCACTTCAAATAAACCACGATGGAACATGCCCAGCGAAGGCTGTTCAATTTTGATCAGTTTAATATGTGTGATAAGGTCGAAAATTTTACAAAGTGTGCTGCAAGTCATTTTAAAAATAATGAACTCTTGATTTTCTATCAGTGTTCTACGAAAAAATTCCAAAAATGAATATTTCTATTAAGGAGGGTTCTGACGGAGCCATATCTCAAGAACAGTTGAACTGATTGAGCTAAAAGTTTCAATGAATATATACTTTGATAAGTTCTACTGCCAATTAAATTTGCGGCTCAAAACATTGTGCCATTACAATTTTATGCACCGTTCAATATATGCAAAAGTCCACATTTTAGACAACTTTAGTACTTAATAATTTTTTTGTTGATATCAGACAGAAACCTGAAATTCTTTACCATAAGTAGAACAAATACAGATGTATCTTTCCTATGAAAAACATTAGTGTGTGATCTATAATAAAAGGCTAGCAGTAGAAATTATCTTTGAGAGACTCATATGGGATGCATAAGCCGTTTATAAGAGTTTTTAAGTTTAATTAGTAACCTTATTGTAGTCATTAGATGTTGGTAGTTTTTGATGAAGAACATGATAACCATATTCCTTTCTTCCTATCTCAAATTCAGTTCACGAAAAGAAAAAAACAGTATGGAAGTTTATCGGACACCTTTCCTAAAAACATGTAATTTATTGTCAATAATACTGAATAATGATGACTTAAGAGTGTAATTATAGGTATGGGAGTGAGAGTGAACGTGATGGTCCTTTTGAACACATTCACACTTTCTTTCTTTTGAATACTTTTAATGAGAGAAATAAATGAACAAATAAGTAAAACGTTTTGATTGTCCCATTTTCTTTGTTTAGAAAGTTGTCATTTGTTTTTTAATGATGAACAGCTTTTCATTAGTCAATAAGCTGCTATTGTCTCATAGATTTTTTGAAATGAACAACTTCTCATTAACACTTAAGTCGAACCATATTTTATGAGTTTTCTGTTGATACTAACTTGTTTATTTTTATTACGGAAATATTTTGAACTTGATAAGGAATTTCATGACAGCTTAATTTCTAGATAGTAATTAACATAATTTTACAAATGGGATAGAAAAAAAGTAACTTTTTGAAATAATGTGAAAGTTTCTTTTTAATATACAGTATCAGCATGCATCAAGTATTATCTGCAGAAAGATGGCAAACTAATGATACGAATAGTAGAAATCATAAACGATTAGTATACATTACGTTTATGATAAATTTATCAGTTGTAAAAAATTCAAATTAGACAACAATACTTCTTGTTTTAACGAAAAGAAAAAAAAACATTCATCGTATTCTGCATTGCTTCGAAAACATATGTAAAGTCATAATGTATGTGTGTATCGTCCAGGTCGATGTTTAAGACTGGCAGATACGATCGTAGATGCATGAAAAAGTTAGTGAATACTTCCGTTCTATACTCTTTACGGCCGTATTTTGCCGTACCATAAATGGCTAATTATGGTACTAAAAACGATCAAAAAGTTGAATATCTGACCGCCTATGACAGTTTACGATACGTTGAAATACGACCGTGCTTATTTAACCTGGGTAAGAATAGCGAAGACTATATTATTATCAAAGTTAAACAACAAGCAATAATTTTGTAATACAGTTGAATATAGAATTTTCTTCACACAACGAAATTTAATTCTACAAGAAGTTTCTTTGTTGTTACTTTTTTAAGCGCAAACTTTATTGTGTTTTGCTCTCTTTGTTGTATACAATAAAAAAGATGGCATGTCGAATAATGCAATAATACTATTTTTTTTTATATTTAATTTTTTTTTCTTGAAATGAAATGTTCAATAAGCCAGACCTATGATCAATGGCTATCTCAGAATTATTGTTTCTGCTATTAATATTGCTTGATGAACATCAGATTATTTTTACAATGATTCTCTCTTGGCTTTTTAAAATTTTATTATGTTTTCCACATGCGTGCCATAGTAAAAGAACACGACAACAAAAATCTACATCAGATTTCATCATGAGAAATATAGAAAAAGGGCGAACTGTTGCATCATATTCATCATCCATGTGTCATATCTTCTCGCCACCGCTAAAAGTTTGCATGTTGCGAAGGATTCGTTGTCGAATACGACCACAAACACTAACTGATAATCATAATACAATATCATTATCGATAGCATTATCTAAGCAGCAACTTGTTGCTCATTCTTTGAACGAATCTCAAAATTGTGCTGAAACATTACGTTACGACTGTACCTCTTCAATCATACATCGGAAACAATATCCTAGTTTAATCACTATTGATATTGGTAACAATGAATTACTGCCAGAACAAACAACATTTACATGTATGAAACAGTCAAAAGATTTTTGTTTTTCAATAGATAAATCAAAATCGAACAGCAAAAGGTGCTTGAATCGGTAAGAAAATGAGGAGTGAGATTTAATTAGTTTTATTTGTTTTCTTTTTGTCTATATATGCATAGACGATCACTAATCAAATTAGATAGCAGCTGTAGTTGTGCATCAATTTTTTCAGATTGTCATCATCATCATAGAAGTCAAATTTATCGATGTTTATCTTTATCTATGCCATCTATTCGGAAACGAAACACTAATTCGAACATACTTGCTCATCAACATAGATATTCTACTAATCGTCTAAATGACTTTATTTCAAAACAACAATCACTATCCACTTATTCATCTCAAAATATTAATTCAATTACGCATGATTCACCATTACTAACGAATGAAACTATCAATATATCCAAATCAAATAGTGATATTTTCATTCCAGTTAATAAAAAAGTTGACAAAACATGGCGACTTAAAATACAGGATCATTTAAACAAAGATGGTAGCCGTCACTTTGTTATGCATAAAGGTATCTACATATATACTGTTCGGTGTGAATGCTTAGATCAATGGTCAGAGTATGGATGAATCAGGTTATGGTTATATTGGAGATCAGAGTCTATGGGCATTTTGATTTCAAACTGAATTTTAAAAAAGAACGATCGCCGACCTTTTCCACAAACGGGGTGTTAGGGGGTCTACAAAAAGAAGATCTTTGCTCAACACACTGCAGCAGAGGCACACCATAACCTAATTTACGGAACATGAACACAGCATTCGATCATTCACAGAAAAAACCTAAAACGCCAACAAACTGTTTTTCAGCGATTTCTCTCTACAGAAAAACCCTCACACACTGCACAATGGACGCTGAAAAAAGAAATCATAATAAGACCAGCAACAGAACACAGTTACCGAACTCATAAAACCTGTAAGTCTTTCATGGATCCTGATGAAACTGCTTCTTTACAATTATTCACATGAGAGAAATCTATGGGCCCTTTTTATACGATGAGGGAATTGGAGAGTCTTTAAAATTATTCATATTCAATATAACTATAGACCCCCTATCTTTTAGAGATGGGGGGACTACAGGATCTTTAGAATTATTCATTGTAGACATAGCTGTACACTCTCTTTTCTTGAGAAATGGAAGACTAAGGGGTCTTTAGAATGATCCATTTTTTTTCTATGTACAAAATTATATGTCGGCACGGCCAGCCATCGGTCCCCTTCGTTGGGGAAGGTTCGAAATCAGTAAGATTCAGAAAAAAGAATTTGTTATAGAGAGTGTGATCTTGAAATATTATTAAGTTTGTTCTGTATTCCGAGTTACACAGCTGACATATAAAACCAATATCATTTTTTCTTTCCTACGAGTTTAAAAACACGAATAATTACGAAATTTCACTGTTTTTTCACTTTTTAACCTTTCATTTTTGCCAAAATAATGAATGGAATTTTCAATGAAATTTTGAAAAGAAGATGAAAATGAACTAATCGATTTATATAAAACAATATTCTTAATCGTTACGGAACAAAAAAGGTTAGATTAAACAGATAAAATTACCATAAAAATGGCACTAAACTGTCCTCCGTGGAAAAAGAGAAAATTGGTGAAATTCCATAACATTTGAAATTCCGTAACGCTCAGCCTTTTAAGTTAGCTTACTCGAAGGGATTGTCCTATGGCGAAAACAACATGATATTCTAAGAGTATGTGAAAAACTGAACAACTTTTGTATAGAACGTTCATTTATGAGTAGCTTAGTTTCGTATAAAAATGCTAAAATGTGAGTCATCCCTAAAAATTTTGTCCATTTTTTGAAATTCCGTAACGAACGATATTTTTCAAATAATTTCGCTATGGCTTGTGATAACTCCATGAAATTTTCAGTGCTCACAGAGCTAGTTTACCTTTATGTATGCCCAAAATTTTAGAAGCATTTCTCTTGTTATTGAGAAGATATTTATCTCACAAGTTGAAAAAATGAAATTCCGTAACGCTTGGCCGTGCCGATGTATTATTCAAAAGACTCCCTAGTCTCCCCATCTTTAAAAAAAGGAAATCTATAGCTACATATATGATGTATAATTCTAAAGACACTATGTCCCTATTTCTTTCTGAAACCAACTGTCCTTTTTTTTTATTGAAAATTCAGATTGAAATCAAATAGCTCACAGTATGGGAGATCATGAAGTAACACCCACACCCACTCATTGTAGGAAGAATCTTGTTTTCGGTGTTTGAAAAAAATGACCGTGCAGCAGTATGCATCATTTCTCACTAGTATAAAAGAAATAAAAATCTGAAATTTTTAAACTTCTTTATTATGATTTTCATTTAGGTAGTGAAGAATCTGTACGTGAACGTCGTCAACAAAAGCGTGCTAAACGATCTGAAGAAAAAAAACGTAAAATAGAAGAAAAAATAAAAAAAGCAAATCAACGTTGGCAAAAATATTCTAATATTGATTATGAACTTGTCTTTTTCATTTCACGATATTATGATCAATTACCATTATGTTCAAATTGTCGAAATTATTTTACAACTCATCAAGCACAATTTTTAGCCGACGATCCTCGTGCATCACTTGACTATGCAGCTGAAGATATTTTACGTTCATCAAGTAATAAAACATTAACACTGAAAAAAGCAGCTAAAGCAAGATTAATTAAAGATTATGATAAACAAACAAGTATTATATTTAATCTTTGTGATTCATGTTTAACTAGATGTAAACAAATTCGAAATGAACTTAAACAAATTAATTATGTTCAAAAAATGTCAAATGAATTAAATTCACCAAATCCCAGTATGATGACAATGACAACACCCGATTTACAACAACAAATCATTGTACCATCTTCTCCCAATATGCTCAATATTGATAATCATCCATACTCACCGTCAAGTTCCCCTTTTGTTTCACCATCAACATGGACTACCGATGTGAATCATCAACAAAAAATATCTTCTCCATCATATCAAAATACAAGCACTGGTTAAATATATTTCTTTTAAATTGAGTTATTTTTGTGTCTTATTTATACACTCTAGATCTTAATCAACTTTATATGAATAATGTTATTCAATATCATCAAATAAAATTACAACAACTCTATCAACAAAGTCAAAATATTATTAGTGCTCAACAATACCAAGAAAATTATCCATTAACAATGGATCAACAACAATTACATCATGATCTTCAGTTATGTATAAAACAAATGCAATATCATTGTCTAGAAATATTACATCTTCAATATCCTGGTTATTTACTTTCATTTCCATATACACCATCATACAATCCAAAATATTTATCCTATCGATATCAAGATATCGATGATGATGACGATGATGATGAAAGTATTGATTCAGAAAATTCATCTTCTATTAGTGAGAAAGATAATGACAGTCAAAGATGTGTGAAGATTGAAGACGAAAATGATACTTCTACTAGGACTAGTGATGACAACAGATGTTGTACGGATGAATATGATGAAAATCAACAGTCGATTGATGATCGACTTACAATAGAAACATGTCATGGACTTATTGAATATTATAGTAAGTGAATAAATGACAACAATCTCAATAGAGAGAGAAGTTCTTCAAATAGATAATCGCTTTCGAGTCGAGCTATGTGCCTGGTGTAGGTTCTGATAGGGTATGAATAAGCTCAAAACAAGTTCGAACTCGTAGCTTATTGGTGCGATGATACTGTACTTTTACGACATTTGAAGTAAATGCCACGGTCCCAGTCAGGAATTCGTGAAAAGCTAATTTTCCAATTGCGACTTGAAACTTTGCAAAAAAATCAAGTCCTCTAGAAAATAGTTTATTGTCAAGGTTACAGATCTTTTGATTTGTGCCTATTCTGAAATAAGAATATCGAATCTACTGACGTATATAAGCAATATAAATTAAAAGACACGCTCTTTTCATAGACGTATCTTACGATAGGAACAGCAAAAGATCTGAAATTTTCATAATAAACTACTTTCGTTGAATGCTTGTCTCGTTGCTAAATTTCTAATGGAAACTCGAAAATCAGTTTTCCTGACGAGGATCACGACATTGATTTAAAAATACCGTAAAAATGCAGTATTTGTGTGCCAATAAGCTAGAACCCAGGACTTTTTTCGCTGTTTTCATAGTTCATTAGGTTTTATATGGTGTACATTGTCCCGACTCGAGAGCAATTTATAAGTTGAGGAACTTCTCTTGTCGGTACAAATATTTCGTTCTAATGACTAACGTGAAAAATTCAAAACTAAGAATTCAATTTCACTGAATCATAAATTTTAAGTGACATATGTACGTCTAAGTCTCGTTGAATGTAGTACCATATGATTAATATTAAAATACATAAAATCAAGCAATTATACGCGTATAAGACCAATTTCTTTGTTAATAAAAAAAAAGGGCTTAATTCAAAAATATAAAGAAGAACCAAATAGTAGTGACTTCAATCTGTGAAGCAAAAAATAAACATGAAAGTTTGAAATATATTTGTTTTTCTTTCAGATGCACCATTGGATGATTTCATTCGAGGACTTCAAGTTTTGAAATGTCTTAACATTTTCAATCGTTATTCGTCCTAATTCAGTTATACATCAAAAATACAAAGATGAATATTGAAAAATAATGTTATGTATACATCTAATCATCCATGCTATATAGTGTATTTGAACAGTAGTAGTTATTATTAAACGTCATCTTGTTATAGGCAAAAAGTATTCAAATGTGACAATTCATTATTAGTACCTTTTTTTGGTTTTTATCTATTCTTGCTTGATTTATTTGTCAGTTCTTTGTGTACACAAAACTATCTATTATGTAATAAGATATTCAGAAAGTCCTTCGCCAAAGACATTTTTGAATATCTCCGTAATATTCTCACTTAATGGACTGGTACATTTATTGTCAATAGAGAAGTGTTCATAGCTCATATTGACAAAAAAATGTGTTGACCAAACTTGTTTTCAAGTGTCACAACTGACTTCAACAAAGATCTATAACTTTTGACGGATTATGAGAAAACAATATATTTATTCTCATGGCAAGAATCAACGACACATCGAAGATCTTTATTACCTTTCTACACTAGTGTCGCTTGGTCTCAAGTTCGCACAGCAAATATATGTCTTGCTGCTCTTTGTCCATGAAAAGTTTAAGTAATATATTAGAATGAATTTGTTAAGACAAGTGCTGTATTGTTTTTCTATTCATAGCCCGTAAAGGGCTATAGTTCTATATTGAAGTCAGTTGTAATGCTTCAAAACCAATTTTGCCAATGCTTCTTCTGTCAATATGATCTATGAAAACAGTCTATTCGTGGTAAATATATTAGCCAATTAGGTCAAAATACTACGGAGACATTGAAATTTTTCTTTGGTAAAGAACTTTCTGTGCGCTCTATATACTTTTTGACTAATTACTATTTCTATTTTTGTTAACCGTACAGTATTTAATTGTAAGATGACAATTTCAAAAAGGTGAGAAATTAACAATGCATTGTTTCGAAAGCTTTTTAGAGAAATCAATGAATAGGAGAGAAATTGTTGCAATCAGTCAAAAATGTGAAATTCTATATGTAGCTATAGATTGATGCATGTAATAAGAAATGAGCAACGTTTTTTTATTTACGATTAGATGAATACATAACTTTTTTTTTATTGCTACAGATGATCGATCCTTTCCGATCATAGCAAAAAATTAAGCTGAGTTTGTCTCGTTAATATTTGCATGTTTGGTCGTCATACTTCTCGATAGATGCTTAAAAGAAATAGTCTTCCGTTTTTTTCTCTTAAATGCATCGGTTGACATTTATTTCAAATTCAAGACATACATAGACAAGACTATCGCTGAAGATAAAATTTTTACGTTATTGAGAAATAAAAACTGATCAGCTGTTGAAGAAATGCTACAACACACTAAAATAAAGTAAGTGCAACATCGAATCATCCTCAGTCGACGAAAAAATTTCAATATTCCAAAGTGAAAAATTTCGAAGAAGATGAAACACTCGATAAAAAAGACAAAATGCTATACGATAAAAGTCATTACATTGAAAAAACTATTCATCATTAAATGAATTCAGAATAACTATGAAGATATTTTCATAGTGATCTTGAATTATTTGTTACAATTCTAATAATAAACTTGTTCCAAATTTTGTTCGACAATATATTTTATTGAACATTAATCAACGGATCGGTACCATATTGAAAAGAATCAGAAAAAAATCATATAGAAAATATCTTTGATTTCAGAGGAAGAACATCTTCCAAATAAATGTGAATAGACATCAGTAAATGATGAAAATAGCTGAGTTTGATAGGAAGTTTGTTCCTTCATGGATCTGATACACATAATGATGAGATAGAAAGGTGAAGTTTTGTTGACAAAAATTTCCATTGTTTTGTACATCGTCGAAAAAAAAGTACTTTGAATATAGAAATACGAAGTATTGCACATTAACAGAACACTGATAGTGTATGATATGGTGTGCGTGAATGATGGCAAAGGGTATGTTTCAGTAAAAATTGAAATAATACATATATCATGTATTTATGATTATTGCAAAATGCTTTCATTTTGATCTATTTTAGTCCAATTTCTGGTATTGATAACAGCTAGCTTTCGACCTATGCCATTTTAAAATAACTTCGGAAAATACTATTCATGCTGTGGCATCACTTGATCGATTATTTGAGCGTGATGTCTGGTTTTCGCCAACAAACTTCGAAACATTGAAGATGATAACTGGACCCCATGCTGTTCACAACTTACCATTGATGCTTTCTGGCCAATATTTGTATGCATTGAATGTGGGATGGTATGTGAGGTCTTCGGTCTCACTATCAAACACAAGTGACATCTTGTTAGACACGTTCTGACAACTAAAAGGACGAGTACCAATCTGACTTGAATTATATTTAGATGTAGACAGGTATTCTATAACGCTTGTAACGGTACCGTGAATGGACAGCTGTTTATCTGCTTATACGTATCTAAAGACAAAAACACTATTCATGGGTAAGGATAAATTGCTTTTCTTTCTTATGACAAAGAGTGTTTTTAGATATAGGCAAAGTCGTTGATCATATACTCTGTCGGACTTGAACAATCGTGTGGTATATACCAATAAGATTATCATATCTAGTAACGCTTTCAAGTCAACGACGAATTTCTCTCATATTTACCAACTGTTGTTGCTTGGCATCCAATTACCTCGCGAAGTATTACTGATTCATTCAACTTAACTCAACTTTACTTATTCTTTTCTCAAATAATTAATATATATACTCTAGAGCTGAATTGTAGATTAAATCTTGACTCTAAAAATCATTCGAAAGAACAAAATTTAATCGATCTTCTTAACGATGCTTCTTTATGAAATATTTTTATGTCAAACGGATTACAAACAGATCAATCTTTATATGGATTGGGAGCGTGAAGAGATGACAGACATTGATATTTTCTTTGTGAAGTAATTGCCGCATCTACAACTCATAGAGTCAGACTGTTATAATAGTCAAGTACCTGAAACATTAGATATACTTATGAACGGTCTTCCAAAATTGAAATTTCTCAGTTTTCATGGTGGTTTGTGAAGCAACGTTGGACAGTTTACGATAATGCGTGATCTTCAAAAGTACAGTACGCGTTCTTGTCGAACGAAATATTATAATTCGTTGAATGATGCAGCAATACTTTATGTATGACTATGATAACATTAAACTGTTACATTTCTGTATTTATTAGTACTTATATTTCTCATTGTAAGAATATATTGCACTAAGAGTGCAAAACTTTAAATTAAAAAAGATGAAGTGTAAACATTGAATTGATTTTTATGCTTTTCATTTTTATTCCGAAATTCTCTGTTACAATTGAGTAAAAGTTATCAAAGAGATATCAAAGGCTGAAATATAAAAAAATTATTGAATGCTAATGCCAATGTCAAGTGATGCTCTTGCTATTGTAAGTTGTTAAAAGAAGTACTCAAAATGTGGACTACCCCATCGATGCATTCAAAAGTTCTCAGAAACTTTCTGAACACATATCCATCGATCGTTATTTTTCTGTTAATTCTGAATATGTAATTATTTTGAGAATAAGAATAGGAAATTCTGCGAAAACAAATGAAACATAGTCTAAGAAAATGGACATTCCGACATAAATTCTAATGGAAATCAATGTTATCAGCAACAGAATATCATCTCAACAACTTCGAGATATACTTTTGAAGGGCAATATTTAGCAATTCTAATGCAATATGATGGTCAGTTGTATCTCTTTGTAGAAAAAAACTGGTTACCAGTACAAAATGCATCTTCAAAACTGAGACCCTTTCATGCATTTCAGATTAATTTTTATCATTATAATATTCAGTTATTTCGATGCGTTACATTCAAGTACATCGAATGTTATTGATTCTCGTAAAATAATAGGTAATTATTTCAACTTCAAATGGTGGAATTATACTATTGTTGTTCTAGATGAGAAAATAAAGAAAAAATGTTTCGGTACAATGGTAAGTAATATACATATAAAGAAGATAGTAAAA